GGAGTCTCCATTACCTGTAAAGCGCTTTGAGTGGAGTGTCCAGAAAAGTGCTATATAAGTGTAAGGATACATCATCATCATCATCAACAATAATAGTAATATTAAGGAACCAGGAGACCCAAGAGACTATGTGAAAGTGCATTTAAAACCAAGAGCAGAAACAGGCGTGTTGTTGAAGCTGACGGCCTTGCTTCTTTCACGAAATAGATCGGTGAACTACTATCAAACTGGCTGAACTGGCCGGTTTGCTGTGGTCTCCTTTGCTGCGTGTAGTTTGTAGTTTTTTTTTCAGTACAGCAGTCAGTGGGATTAGTTCTGCCAGCAGATGGCAGTCTTGCACTTTGCAGCCTTCTCCCCACAGAAGAACTGAAACAGGCTAATTTACTGTACGGGTGCATTGCTTACCATCAAGGGAAAAAAAATCCTGAGTTATCTCGTAATCACGAGATTGCAGAATAACTCGCAGCGGGGATCATTTGACTTTATGAACAACTCGTTACATCGTTCAGAAGCAGCACCTACAAGCTGCCGATAGCTGTGCTGGAGCTGTGGGTTTAGTGTTCCTGGCAAAGTGCAATGCTGCAAAATACAGTTTGTACCTCATGTGAACACAGTTTTAAGGATATTCACACATAAACAAGAACGAGTGTGTCCTGGAATCAATTTCACTGCTTAAAACTGGAACTCGGATAATGATAATGAAGGTAGTGGATCACAATTGTGCTATCGCGTGGTGATCACATACTGTATGCGAGAACGTACTATCTAGTAATTACGAGATAACTCAGGATTTTTTTTTCTTGATGTCAGCAATGTGTTTCAGCTGTGGAAAATTGCGCTTGTTTCTTCGACGTTATGTTAGATGTTTTGTCCCCCAAATCCCTGATAACTACCTTTTTTCCTCTTTACATGCCCCCTGAAGTAACATTGGCTGTATCAGGATAATATTAGACAAGCTTACAGTTTCCCTCACTCTCTCCAGGTTCGTCTTTGCACCAGGCAGAACCCTGCCTTCTGTCAGACTGTCAGATGTCTCAGTAGTGCCAAGTGCCAGGAACTTGCCAACTACTACCTGGGCTTCAATGGCTGGTCTAGTCGGGTTGTCACAGTAAGCCAATTCACTGTTCTTTGCAAGCAGCTCAAGTGTGAAAGCAGAATGGAGCAGTGGTCCGTGCATTGGCCTTCTGATTACAGGGTTGCGAGTTCGAATCCCAGGTGGGGTTACTGCAGTGTTCGTATGGGGGTAGTTCACCCAGAGTGCTCTGGCAAGCCCAGCTGTATACAGTATATGGGTACTGATATATTGAAATAGGTGATCATAAGCCCTGTAAGTTGATTTGTGTACAAGTTTAAATTATATTTGTGTAAGAATGTGTACCCTAGAACAAGGACTCTTATATTAGCTGCACCAGTAGTAGAAATCCAAAATATTGAAGTGAGAGCTGAGTTAAAAAAAAAAGTCGGATTATTATTCTGATTTGCAGTGCAGTGGTTAAAACTGTACGCCCATGTGTGATTTGTTTTATCCTTCCTATGTTTCTTTTTCTGTTCATAGCTTCATGACATTTCGATAACCGATAATGCTGGACTGTTGCCCTTGGGTACAGAGACGCAGGCAGTCAGTCTGAAATACGGCTGCATTGTGGAGTTAATGTTCACTAAGCATGGAGTCAGCTGCAGGGGTGTTGGGGTGGCAGAGGAGCTCCTTGAGAATAATCCAGGTATGTTTCTTCTGTACACCAGCTG